CACAAGTGTCGATGAAAATCATCATTTTTTATGTTCTATGAATGTTAGTGTCCTCATGTGACAGTTAATAGTCAATTTCATTTATTGGAAAAACAGAGCTTGCTTTGCATAAGTTGCATTTCAAGTTGCGCCCCGTGGGGATCCGAGTTAGAATAGGTCCTCAGTACCCGCTAGCTTGTCGTGAAAGGCGACTAAATGGGCGGTCCTTCGGATGAGACCGTATAAACCGAGGCCCCGTGTCACAGCAGGTGTGGCACGATAAAGATCCTTCCCTGCTCAAAGGCCGTAAGTGCCGAGCATAGGCCTAAATTTGCAGCCCTTCACCGGCAATGGTGACGTCTCCATATCAGTGAAATATTCTGGAGAGGGACGTTAAATAGTATACAATCAATCAATCATTTCAAGTTGCATGTCAAGAGGCACGTAGACTTTTTCATTTAAGCCGGAATAAACACCAATTGTCATTTATAAACTTATTTTTTTAATTAAATGCTTATTAAACATATATGACATAAGAAAAATGCTAGGAAAGGGCAAAACAGGAATGACAATAAAAAATGTAATGAATCAAAAGATACTACAGGTACAGTGTAGAAAACAATATGTACGATATAAAATGAATCTAAACAGGAAACAATCTTAGGAAAAAACGTATTGTTATACTATAAGATTAATGTTACGATAGGTCAAGTGAGTTTAAAAAATCGTCACCTATGGAACAATGTTACAAATGGATTATATTTTTGTTTTACAAACGATTACATTAGTATGTTCAAATTAATGCAATGTAAACACGTAGTGGTTTGACTATCTTATTTGATTTGAATCTTTCAAAGACCATTTCTCTTACTTGCGTCAGTCGGGGACGTGATGTTTGTAATCAGTTCAACTTTTTGTTCTTTTAAAGAGAGCAGTTCCCTATTGGAATTGAGTGTTTTCATCTATACTGCAAGAAGTTGAGAAAACTCGCTTTCGTCACATTTATTTTCAAAATATCCAGGTTCACATAACCCTGAACAAGATTCAGTCACGTGATGGCACGGTCTGTTTCCTCTACAGTAACCACAATGTTGTTTTACATTCTCTACCGTACCAATCATTTTTGCAAGCTTAAATAGATAAAAGGCAAAAAAAAAAATTTAACTTGTTGTACAACGTCTTTGATAGAAATGCTAGCCTACGCCCTTAAGGATTGATTGACTGTTTATTCTAGAATTGTTCACTCATATAGGTACGTCATCTTATTGTGGTGAAAAGCTTCAAATGTAGACCTATACTCTGCACTCACGGCCATTGGGCAGGGAGATCAGGAATAAAAATTAACAAATGCATACTATATTTTGTATTTAAACATGATACTTGATAAGACATTAAAATAAGATTTAGGATATTCTCATCACCTCTTTTAGAAATCGCTCGCGCGGCGCGGTCTTTACTGCACTTTTATGTTTTAAAGTAAGATTTAAGGATATAATCCTCACATTGTGGGTTCGAATATAACTGTGGGACGTGGAAACTGGTTCTTGGATAAGACCGTATAAGCTTAGGTTCTTTCTCTCAGTAGATGTCGGCAGGATAAAGAAACCACACTACTCAATGGTCATAAGGAACGAGTATGGGAAAAAATTTGCAGCTCTCCATGGCAAGTTGTGGCGTCTCCAGACGAGTGAAAAAACTCCAGAGAGGGACTTAAACAATGAATAAACTAACACAATTTTAAAGAAATTTATGTAAAATAAACAATTTTCTACCAATAGAATTATTTAAGATGGTTCAAGGTATTGTTCCCTTTCAAAGGACAGGCGCCATGTACGTGATCACATGCTGCGTTATTTGCACAGTGCCCACAAGTAGAGTAACAATCTCCACCAAAGCTTCCGCTTTTGCATTCTGTGTACGTCAAAATTACATTGACTTTACAAATAGGATAACATTATGCAAATTCTGTATTTCATTCATAGAATATCTTTCCTGCTTTCACGACCTTGAACCAATATTTTTGGACATAAGCTCTACAAATGCAAAAATAGTGAAATTTATAACTTCAATCTAATACATCTGTACACGATAAGGAAGAGACATTTAGATGATAGAGGTGCAAAATCATGAGTTTTCATATTATTTACGGATAATGAGACGTAAACTGACCCAAACCAGATTATACTCGATTATATGGTCTAGAATTAGAGTCATTCCTTATTATTAAATTTTAAAATAAATAAACAACTTTGAATGTAAAATTGTCTTGCTTTTTATGAGTTCAAATTTACGGCGCAATAATGCAACCATAGTAATGGAAGTGATAGGAAGCGAGGGGAGGTAATTACTGATAGATAAATCTAGCAGCCATGATGTTTGTTTTCATGAGGTAAGATCCAGTAGCTGTATGAAGTTAAAGACCTGTACATTTATTAAATCTGGAATTTTCCAAGGGTTCCGAGCACTGGAAATGGGGGGATTGCATGGATAAGATGATTAAACAAGTCGTCAAAGGGGATGTCCCCATATCAATCAAGATTTTACAAAAAATGCGTTTGTTTTTGGAAATCAACAAATGAGAAGCGAGAACTCAAACGTCCGAGATAAGATTCTGTAAAATAAGAATTTTATAATGATAAAAAAATTGGTAAAAATGATTTTAAAGTTCCATTTTATTTTTTTTTTTCAGTTATTAATATCCCTTGAAATTTGTAACTCATCAATAATATTTTAATCATAATCTTTATACCTTATAACAATAATATTTATGGAAAATGTCTGATATTATCTCAAAAATATTATCCCGTTTTTTGATTTTGTGTTTTATGTATCAGTGTTTTTTCTTATAATAGACATTATCAGAAATTAGTAACGGATGAGTGATTTCAAATTTCTTTCTATTACTTTGATTATATCTTTTGAATTCGTGAGGATCACAGATTCATTTGTGCTTTATAAAATTATTATCAGAGACAAAACATGCTTACTAGGGTTCAATATCAAATTCAACATAAGAAGACAACTGACGCATATTTCAAGTTTTTAAAAAGGTTCATTGGCGGTTATGACAATTGATTCACTCAAAATTACTGCAAGTAAAAATCAGAAAATGTTCCATGGTGAACCCTGGGAACAGATGAACACCCGGATATGAAATTAATGATCATGTTCTTTAAAGATATATATGCCGTGTTAAACAGTATTTTTGTACAGCTGAAACCGAGCAAAAATTTCTGGAGTATGATAAGCTACCACAAATGAAGCATTCTTGAAAATTCGACGAAATTTTATTCGGTATTAACAAAGTACTGGTCAGGAAAAGAACACGATATTCTCATGCATATTTTATAAAGGATTGACATTTATCCTGGATCTGCGCATGTGCGCGGGAAAAGCATCGCGAGAATCATCAGGTCGAGGAAAATATATTTTGTGACGTCTGTTCAGTGAGGTACACAAATAGACCAATCAGCTCAATGAGTTGCATTTAATGCATTTATGGGTTACTACATAAATTACTACATGTGTTTTTCAAAAAGGCTAGTTTTTTTAATCGCTCTCAGAAAGACTTGATGCATTATGTACATTATTATCTACTAATCCCATGCTCATATTTACATATAAATGATTAACAATGATGAAAATTAAAGTTTTCCCCACTCCATTGTACAGGTCCGTTTGTTTAGAGTTTCCCCGTGCTGTACTGCTAGTGGACATTTTCGGTTGGGTGAACATTTACGGATCTTCAGTATGGAGCGCATTATGCGCAAAAAATATTTTATGTCTAGTACAATGTATGGAAAGTAATGTAAACTGCTATGTTTACACCCTGAATGGGATATCATCAATTATCCCTTTTGGTTTTTTAATATGAACTACATAACATATGTAGATGAAACTTACATACCATACATCTTGCCTTCTTAGAAATATAGTTGGGCTAATAAAATAAAATTGGTCAAGGAATTCCAGGCCTCTAAAAACTATTCCAGTTTGAGGGCACAACCAAGCATTTCGATTAACACCTTTAAGAAAAATTAATTCAGGTAGGTAGCATCGGGTTTTTTTTAAGTGGGTGGGGGAATAGATTGATTGATTGATTGTTTAACGTCCCTCTCGAGAATTTTTTACTCATATGGAGACGCCACCATTTGTCGGTGGAGAGCTGCAAATTTTGTCCTATACTCGGCACTCAGGGCCATTGAGCAGGGAGGGAAGAAATCTGACAAGTAAAATAGGTTCCAATATCTTTCGCTACTAAATATGACCTAATTTTATTAATTCACTACAATTTACTGCCAAACTTCAAATTTCACTTTCGAATTAGCCCGGGCCAATGCTGATAACCTACTTGCAAGATTTTTTATATGATTTTCAAGGGGTCAGAAATACTGTGGTTCATATGTAAAGAATATAGTTATATTATTTAGTAGTATTCTGGTTTTGGCATTCGGTATATTGTGCAGATTTATACATGATATTCTGTGGAATACTTTTTGTTGTTTTGAACCATTAAGAAATGCAGAATCGAATGTATCTCATAACCATTTTGATTGATCAAATTATATCATTTGTTTGTATTAGTTGTTTCATTTTGGCGCAACATGGTTTCCACACTTCTTTATCCATAGTCGCTGACATCTGTAGAAGTTCACCCAACCGAAAATGTCCATTGAAAAGACAATTGCACGTGATTATTCCTCGGTACAAAAAGTAACCAACTCTGAGGTGCACTCAATATTGACAATCCCTAATTCATGTGTTTGTAGTAATATCGTAGTAGACCATCATGCTTTTCGGTTCATTCACGAGATTGGACCATTGTTTGCTGTAAACATGCGAGACAACGTGATCATGAATATTCCAATAAGAGGCGGCTTTTTACCCGACACGGAGAGAAAATAATTTTTACCAAATAATATTTCATAACTTTAAAAAGTGATGGAGGGGAATTGTCTTATTTGCAGAAAGTATATAACTTATATAACTTGATATAACTTGATATATACTTTCTGCAAATAAGACAATTCCCCTCCATCACTTTTAACTTGATGAGACACCACATATATTTATTACTTTTAAAATAAAACACTAATACGGCATATATAGCTTTAATGTTTTTGAATAAATTTAATTGAAAAATCCAGGTGATCACTACTTGTAAGCTGAATATCCGTTCACTCCAGATATCAGCAGCCGCGGCGGAGGGAACGGCTCTCATGGTAGGTTTTAACCTGAAAAATACACAAAAACGAATTAGCAAGATACACTTGGAAAATAAATACAGCCTATAGTTCAAGTACTCTGAAAAAATCTATAATTTTAAGCTAAAACCATTTTTAAGGAAGGGTTGGTTGGGTGAATTTTCACGTGATCAATGCCAGAAATGTATGCCGGGAGACTATAGGATGGCCGTGATGTCATATCTTACGACTTACGTGTGACCCGACAAATAAGTGAAATCCTATTATTTTTTAAATGTTTCTGACAATTCAACTTGAACATTTTATGAACGTAACTTTGGGAATGTCCCTGATAATTTTTCTCTCTGTCCTTTCAAACCACTGATACATTTTTTGCTTTTATCTTAAATATCAAATATTTAATTATTTATATATATAAAACACTTCTTTCAATAATTTTCTTACTAGTTACACACAAAGACTAGAATTTGTACATTTGAAATCTCCAAACGTAGACTGTTCTAAAATTACATAATTTGATCTATGAAGTCATTTTCGTTAAAAAGTAAATTTCCTTCTATTTTATGTTTGCAAAAAGCTCATAAAATAAAAAAAAATGGTAAATTTCTATTCTTATGACGTTAAGATAAAGTGTATGTTGCATAACAGTTCAGTAAGTTGTAAATAGTTATTTGCTACAAAAGAATAAGAAATTAAATGTATATTAGCAGATATTGACAAATATCCTTATACAATATCTTTGTTGTATCTACATAACATTAATATATCATCTTTGTTGTATTATTAAGGTCATAGGGGTCGTGAGGTTCAGTTCAGCTGTATAGCTTTCAGTAGGGAAGTCAAACTTCTCTTTGAGCCCTATAACTCTGTACTTAGGTATACCTATCCACATAATCACAAAATTTATAATATATACATGTACATATATTGTCTCATTTAATTCAATCTTCTCTATACATGAAATGTTAATAAATAAATTCGGTTATGTCGTATTTTTAAAATAAATATTTTTTTATAAATCACAATACCTTAAATTTATGTAAATACCCTTCTTTAGTTTTGGGGGGATTTTATATAAGATGAAATCCATTTAACATTTCTTTTAATATTTTGATCATCTTTATATGTGTACATAAAATACTTATAAAGCATTGAAAAAAAACTTATTAAATTAATTATGAAATTAAAAAAAAATACATGTTATATACAACAGATGACAATGTTTTCGCGACATTTTATTTTTCGCGAGAGAGACACTTGCTCTTCATAAGTAAGACAACATGTTCACAAATTTAAATAACTGTTCTATATAATCTCTAGAAAGCGATAATTATATGTTCGCAAGCACATGGTCTCGAGCAAGGACGCGGAAAAGTTCTCACGAATAAAAATTGAATAAACAGTAGATGTTCTAACATCATGTTTACATTTGTTGTTTATATTATATACATGTATAATATACCACTATTAGGCATTTCTTTCCTGTCTTGTAACTCTATTTCATGTGCTTTTTTCTTTCTTGATTTTCTACAAAATATTGAAAAAAAAATTAAAATTCTGCAAATAAAATCTGTATCTGGATGTATAAAATTAATCACTTAATTAGGACTGGACTAACCTGGCCATGACAACCACTAGTACGATGACGACTATGACGAATATGACAAAGAAAGCAGCTACCCCTGCATCTGTCTGTATCAAATCCTGTACCTGGCTTTCTGCAACTGTATTATTACTTTTACAGTAACGTAAATAAAACTATATTTATTTAAAACACTTTTTTTTTATTTCTGAGAATCTAATTTTCAATACAGGAAGTGAGGAACAGAACATCTGATAAAACCCTTAAAACCGAAGTCCTGTTTTACAGTAAATAGTTACACCTATAAAAAAAACATGAAACGCAACTCAAAGAAAACAAAGGGCAGTTTGAATCCTTTAATAAAAAGTTATGTCCTATCGATTGAGAGAGAGAGAGAGAGAGAGAGAGAGAGAGAATCTAGACCGGACGGTTAATAATCAAACTAATCTTAACTTTGATGCCGAAGACAATATACCAGTAAATCACCAAATAAAAAAAAACAAGTTGAACTTAGAATAAGTTTTTCGTTTTTTTTTTTAAGTCTGCATAATTTTAGATATATAAAGTAATGGTCAAGAAAGGTACAGTCATGTACCTAAGCCATAAAAAATTTAAAAACCCAGAACTTTTTTTTATTTTATTTTTTTTTTTTTTATAATTTTTACTATTGACCAGTAAAGAAAATTTGGATTCAGGTAAGAATACTCAATTGTTTTGTATTTGATTTTCTACTCTACAAACAGAACATCAAGATTAAAATCGACATTTATGATCGAGAAGTAAATTAAGAAAGTAAACTTTTATATGTCGCTGACTATACTGTACCTGTAATATTGCAAAATTCCCCAATGAATCCGTTGTGACATTTGTCACAGGTTCCATTTCTCTTATTGCAGAGGGTAAAACAACCTTTTGAACAAGTAAGATTGCAGCGCAATCCAAATGTATCGTTGTCACATTCTGAAATAAATGCATATTTTTTCCTTGAAGATAATTGAATTTTGCCAGCAAAAGTAGAAGTTTCAAAGTTCAACTTTGAGAATTTTTGCCTTAGGATACATTAAGTTACAATTTCAAATCATTGTTTAAAAAAGAATAAAGACAAACCGGTGTCACATTTTTCTGCCTGAAACCCAGGTGCACACAGATTTGGACATGATCCACTAATATGATTACAGGTGTCATTACCGCCGCAGTTGCCGCATATTCTTTCGCATTTTTTCCCATAAGCACCCGTAGGACATTCTTCAATGAAATTCATCAAATGTACCAAGATATATTCCTCCATACACATTTAGCGTTTAAATATTCTAGGGTATCACTGTTTTATAAGGAAGGGTTGTCTCAAGTAAAAAAATCGCATTATATTCTAAAATATTTTACATCAAATAGTGCATTAATAACAAATTTTCGCTTTGTCCTTTATCCATGTGCGGACAAGTTCTTTTGCGAGCGCGCTATTCAAGGAGGTTCTACTCTATTCTAAAAAAAAAATTCTGGATTAAAGTTTTAATATTTCACATTAATACACAACAAAATTGCTGCTTTTCCTAACGATTATGAATAAAGTTAAAATTTGTGAAAGTGAAATGATGTGTCAATCAAACCCACCAAAAATTAGAAGTTTAATAACTTTTAAATGCAATAAGTTTTTTAATTAATTTTTGTGTGAAATGCTATGAAAATATATAATTTGTGACATTATACAAAATGTTTTATCTTCAAGTCTGTGTCCAGGCACCTTTAAGGCGCTCTGTTTATAGAAAAGTTATTGATTAAAGACAAAAAAATTATTTGGGATAATGGTCTTTTACTTATTATTAAATAGAGGAAGGGTTCAATTTTTTTAACATCAAATATGAGCTTTGAAAATTGATTGCTGTATTCTCTAAGCAAAAAATCAAAAAAATGTAAAGACATTGTATATATACTATTCATCCTTCAAAATAAATAAATGCAACTACAAATAAAGATATTTAACACACAGGGATACTCATACTCGTGAACAATCGAAAATATAACTCTATCGCTTTATCATTGACATTGTTCGTTTAAAAACATATATAATTAGTGCTATAGATCCCCTTTCCCATTCTAGAAAAATATTTTAAAAAAACGAAGAAAAAACTCATCAGGTCAAATGAAAATAACTTAGATATGCCCATTCTTTTAAAAATCATTTAAATGATACAATTCAGCCATCAAACATTTAGAGAAAAATATGCTTTGTAGATAAGAAAGAATTTCCTACATGTATTTCTTTTCTCTGCATATTTAATAATTTCATCTAGTTGACTTACCTTCATTGCACTTATCCTTTGTCCATCCATCTGCACACTCTTCAATACAGATTCCATCATCTTTTTTGCACGGCAATCCACCTGTACAATGCCCACTGCAATTGTACATACAGTGTTCTCCGAACGTACCATTATCGCATTCTAAAAGCAAATATTTCAAAAATATCTCTCTGTGATTAAGGATTCTGCATTCCTAGCACAAATAAATCATGATCTGGTTTAAAATTCTAGACATAATAAAGAATATGTAAAATTATTTGTTCCCTTTAAGTGTATATAGAAACGAAATACACAAAATCTTTATGAATAAGTATGCCTGTGTTAAGTTTGTACAGGCATATTTACATATTATCTGTTGATATAAACTAAAGCAGTTTATGAACATGTACCTGCCTATAAAACAATGTAGTGTCTAAAATCTATTCATAAATCATGGCAATTAAAAATATTAAAACCAAGAGTAATTTTATTCAAAATAGGTTAAGAAAAGTAATGAACAAAACATGAATTATATGTCACGTGACGAGAAAATTATATTTATATTATATATTACTTAATAATTATGTTAACTTAAAAACATGGCACGCAAAAAATCCCAACATGTATTTTTGAAACTTCCTTAATAAGCTAAAATTCATATAAAAATATTTACTTTTCTTGCGTCAATTAAATCATAGAAAATAAAAAAAAAACTGAATTTGATAACAAGATAATTTAAAGTTTATGAACGTACCAATATTGCATCTTTTATCGGGTGTATTTTTCCATCCTTTCTCACAGTCTCCATTTGGACAGGAACCATTTACGTGATCACATTTTTCGGTTTTAGCACAATTTCCACAAGGATTTGTACAGTTCTTTCCATAAAAATAGTCGTTGCATGCTAAAGATACATACTAATTTTTATATGTGTGTAGCAGCGTATAGATATCATAATGAATGTTGCTGAAAAAGTCTTAAATTCTTATAGGTACCTGGATACAGATTTGAAGTTAATTAATCGAAAATCTTATTTCATTGAAAAGTTATCAATGCTTCATTTTTTTGCGGATTTGATTGACACATCCTTGCACTTTCACAAAATCCAGAAAATTCAGAGATGACTTGTTCGAAAGCAAAACAAACACAGAATATGTTGTTAGTCAGTGCAGATGTGGTGAGCAGACTTTGACTATTGAACGCACCCGGTGAATCGTAAACAGTAACAGTACCAGAGCTCGTGTCTTGTTTACATAAGCTGTACACATAAAACGAATGTGATCGATTTGCTCAACTCTGTACACAACACCTAGCTCAGAATGATGATACTTCTGAAGGAGTTTTGCTTTCTAAAATTTCTACTCTAAATAAAATTATTTTTTCTGGATTAAAATTTTAATATTTCTCATTAATTCACAACAAGATTGCTACTTTGCTTAAAATTTAAGAATAATGTTAAAATTTGTGAAAGTGCAAGGATGTGTACATGAAACCCTCCAAAAAATTTAAAGTTTAATTCTTTTTAAATGAAATAAGATTTTTGATTATTTTTGTGTGAAATGCTATGAAGATATATAATTCGTGATGTTATACAGAAAATATTAAATTCACGTCTGTGTCCAGGCACCTTTAAGCCGTTCTGTTTGTCGACACGTTGTTCATTAAAGACATAAAAAATGCTTATTTTTGGATAATTGTCTTTTGCTGATTAATAAATAGAAGAAGGGTCAAATTCTTTTTACAACAAATATCAGCTTTGAAAATTAATTGCGGTATTCTCTAAGCAAAACAATCAAATAATTTATAAAGACATTGCATATATACTATTCTACCTTCAAAATGAATAAATGCATCTACAATTAAAGATACTTCACACAAAAGGATACTCATACTCGTAAACAATCCAAAATATAATTGTATCACTTTATCATTGACATTGTTCATTTAAAAAAGGTGAACATTTGATATGCACCTTCATCACATCTCTTATCAGGTGTATGTTTCCATCCTGGCTCACAGTCTCCATTAGGACAGGACCCAGTCACGTGATCACATTTTTCTGTTTTAGCACAACGTCCACAGGGATGGGTACAATTCATTCCGTAAAATCCCCTTTTGCATTCTAGAAAAAAATGAAAGAAAACAAAGTAAAGAAATCAGCAGGTAAAATAAAATTAACATAGATATGCGCATTCTTTTAAAAATCATCTAAATGACACAATTCGGTCATCAAACATTTAGAGAAATATATGCTATGAGACAAAAAAGAAATTCGTACATGTATTTTTTCTTTCTCTGGATATTTAATAATTTCAACTGGTTGACTTACCTTCATCGCACTTATCCTTTGTCCATCCATCTGCACACCCTTCAATACAGATTCCATCATCTTTTTTGCACGGTAATCCACCTTTACAATGTCCACTGCAATTGTACATACAGCGTTCTCCGAAAGTACCATTATTGCATTCTAAAAGCAAATATTTAAAATTTATCTCTATGTGATTCAGGATTCTGCATTCCTAATAAAAGGTACGTTTTTTTTGTTTGTTTCTTTTGAAAATTCTATATATAGTAAATAATATACAATATACCGTATAAGTGGAAATTTTAGCGAGACGCAAATTTAGCGATTCTACCTAAAATCTGATATTTTATTTTTAGCGAGAATTAATTTTAGCGATTTTAAAATGCTTACTAAAGAAGCTATTACAAATAATACGCAATTAATTTTTAGCGATATTCAATTTTAGCGATGTCAGAACCCTCGCTAATAATGCCAAAATTAAATCCTCGCTAAAAATTCTACTTATACGGTAGTTTGTTCCCTTTTAGTGTATATAAACACGAAGATACACAAAATCTGTATAAATGAGGACGCCTGTGTATTGTTTGTACATGTATATATACATATTATCTGTACATGTTGAAATAAAATAACACAGTTTATGTACATGTACGTGCCGATAATTTTGTCTAAAATCTATTTTTAAACCATGGCAACTAAAAATATTGAAACCAAGGAGTAATTTTTATTTAAATTACGTTAAAAAGAGTAATGAACAAAACATGAAGTATATGTCATTTGACAAGAGAATTGTATTGAAATTAATAATTAATAATTCTGTTTACTTGAAAGCAGGATACACCACAACTTCCAGCAATCATTTTTGAAACCTCCTAAATAGGCTAAAATGCATATAAAAATACTTTTTGTGCATCAATTAAATCATGCAAAATGAAAACAACTGAATTTGTTAACATGATTTACCTTTGTCTCTAATTATTTCAATTATAAGGTTAATTCATGGTTTGTGAACGTACCAATATTGCATCTTTTATCAGGTGTATGTTCCCACCCTGGCTCACAATCTCCATTAGGACAGGAACCAGTCACGTGATCACATGTTGCATTTTTTGTACAATGTCCACAGGGACGAGTACAGTTGATACCGTAAAATCCCCTTTCGCATTCTAGAAAAAATGAAAGAAGCGAAATAACTCAGCTAATAAATAACAAAAGATATGAAACTTTAAGATATGATATTGATGAAATTAATTGGTACCAAAAGTAGGGTATTCTCACTGGAAACAATTGTGAAATTTGAAAGTAAGCCAATGTTCAAATTCTTTTCAATAAGTACAAAAAAATCCTATGTCAAGGTCAAAAGGTCAAGGTAATTGGTAGAAAATGAAAGGTCTTTCAGCATAAAATAATTATATAGAGCATGAAAGCCCTAGCCCTTACCATTCAGAAGTAATGCCGAATTTCTTTTTTCAGAAAAAGTACGTCAAACTTCAAGGTCAAGATCAAAGGGTCAAAATTCTTGTTCTCAAATGAAAGGTTTTGTCACAAGGATTAAATATGTAAAGGATAAAAGCACTAGCCCTAACCTTTTAAAAGTTAATAACAAGGTTTCCTTTTTTAAGGTAGATGAAGCTCAAAGGTCAATGTAATTGCTATCCAATGAAGGGTCTTTTCACAAGGATTACATAATAAGTATGAAAGCCCTATCCCTTACTGCTCAAAAGTTTTAACTAAGGTTAACTTTTTTTACAAGAATGGAAATTTACAAGGTCAAGGTCAACTGGTCAAGATTGTTGGTATCCAATGAAAGGCTTTTCAACAAAGATTACATATGTAAAATATAAATGACCAGGTATCTGTTGATTAAAAGATATGGCCAAAGTAAAAGGTTAAAAGTTTCCTGGAAAAGTGTGTCATACTGTAAGGTAAAGTTCAAGAGGTCAAATTTGGTGGTACAGAAAAGAGTTCATAATGCACATGTGAAATATAAAAGTCATAGCTCCACTAAATCAAAAGACATGGGCAATGTTAAAGTTTTCGCAGACAAACAGAGAGACAGACAGAGAGATAACTAGACAGACAGACTGACACGACAAAAACTATATACCCCCAAAACTTCGTTTACGGAGGCATAAAAAGTTAAAAGCATTGTCAACGACATTTTCGGACAACTCTCGTATAAATCACACAGACTTACACGAAGGCATATTTCTCAAAATGTGCTTGCACGCTTCATGAAATATGCCTTGAAAAAAATGTTAAAGGTAATCAACAACAACGCAGTATGATAAATGTGATTACTTTAACTTTTCTATCGTCAACATCTCTTATTCATGCAGCAATGTGATACCTTCATCACTTGCAAACGATATATATCAGTTGATTCGATACGCAAGAACAGGCAATACGTAAGAATAATTTCTAAAACCAGATAAACAATTTGATGAATCAAACAAGAACAGAAGTGTATCTCGTTTAAAGTCATCATTTTGTAAGTTCTATTGTCGATATAATGATCTTTTCAGCTAATAATATTCATCATTTATTACTTATTGACGTTTCTTATAATAATTGTTAGTTCATTATTTATCTGAATCGACGACTGAAATGTACAAGCTTTTCATCAATAATGCACATTTATATTTTATTCGTTGATAATTATCGCAGAGTCAAAAAGTGTTTCTAGTTAGATGTTATAGCATGATTTCTTAATTTAAAGATTGAAATTTCTCTAGTTCACTATTGTTTTTTTTTGCACTGATAAAGAAAACTATATTATTCTTACCAACTTTAGACACCTCT